ACCAACTGATTGTAACAGTTGAAGCCAGTTGTTCTCATCCAGGTCTTTCACCTTCTCCTCAGTCCCCAAACAAAAGATGTTGCTTGGCCCCATTTTCTCCTAATTGAGTCTGGTCTGGGCTGTGATCAGACAGATTTGTGACTCTCCATGTTTCCTGGACTGAAGTCTTTTGGGTTTAATTTGTTAAAATGTTTAAATCAGTGGTAGTGTTGCTTGCTATTAATCCCAGCACTTGAGATGCAGAGGCAGGCAGATCTGTGAGTCTGAGGCCTGCCTGGTCTACAGAGTGAGTTCCTAGGACAGCCAGGTCTGTTACATAGAGAATCCCTGTCTGGAAAAACAAAAATGAACAAAAAGAGTTGCCTTGGTCATAGTCCTTCACAGCAGTAACACAGGTTATGTAGTACTTTGTTATATTATGTCTGTATTCCCCACATGCCCTGGGAAATCAAATCAGGCTAAATGAAAGAGTAATGTGCTGTGGAATATTATCTTAACTGGACAAAGATTTGTTACCTTTGTTTATGATGTGAAATGTTATCTCATGTGAAGGTGTTATATTTGTATCTGCTGCATTTGTTTAATGATGTAAGGATGTGTTTCGTTTGTTTATCCTGCGTTTGTTTAATTATGAAGAGATGTGTTGCTGCTTCACTTTGCCTGTCTAAGGCACCTGAGTGGTCTAATAAAAAGCTGAATGGCCAATACCTGGGCGGAAGAGGGATACACAGGTGGGCAGAGAGAATAAGCAGGAGCAGAATCTATGCTCCAGAAGAAAGAGAGGGAGGAAGAAAGGAGAGAATGAGGGGGAAAGAGAGGGACACACCCAGGGCCAGGAGCCTGGCAGCCCCCAGGCAGACCTGGAGACAGAGGAAAGATATACAGAAAGAATGAAAGGTACAAAGCCCGGGGGCGTAAGACAGATAAAGAGAAACATGTTAATTTAAGTTGAAAGAGCTAGCCAGAGGTGAACCTCAGCTAGGCCAAGCATTCAAAACTAGTAATAAGTCTCTATGCCATGGTTTGGGAGCTTGCTGGTGTCCCCCTAAAAATGCCTGGTACATTTGGTGTGTATACGTGGTGCATAGAATTTCCACATACAGCCTGAGAAAGCTGAAAAAAATAGTAAAAAGAAAACAAAACAAAACAAAAAAGAACACAAATCCAGATACAGCTCCTTTAAGAGGTTCTGCCTTACAAAGAACATTTAAACAGCCCTTTTTATGTGTGTATATTCAAATAGTATTGGGACTATCACATAATATGTGGATCTTTGAAATCAGACTAAATGCATTTTACATCATGGTTTGACTTGAGCCTGTCATGACCTGTGTCAAAATGTTGAGGGTTGAATGAAAAATCTTCCAGATAGTGTGCTGAGTTTGAGCATTTGTCTTTGGTGTGAGCCTTCATTGGTGACTTACAATCACAATTGTGACTTAGATTCATAATTGGTGACTTCTCCTTAGGAGGAGGATCTTTTCTGGAGGACTATAGTCTCACCACATTTCTTTGTTTTGTTGAGAGTGAGCAGCCCCCTTCCTTCTCATGTAGGCATGCCATCAGCAACAGAACAGACTTCATTCTGAAATAATGTAATGTAAAGTAGAAGCAATTGCTTTTCCTTGCCAATCCATATTTCTTGCCTGATTATTTTTATGTTTATATTTTTGGCAGTGAATCAGGTTTTTGTACATGTCAGGCATTTGCTCTTGTGCTGAACTTTACCCATGACATGACTTTTGAACTTTGGTATTGGTATCATTTTTAGAGCAAGAATGCATTCATTCATGAAATTAATAGTGATCTGCTGAATCACTTTTATATTGTTTTCAAATGTGTGGTCTTATCTGTTGACCCATCTGTATATACTACCACCCTTTTTGTGTTTGCTTTACTGTTTTAGGATCAGTATTTACTTTACTAATGTTCTTGAGAACTCATTGATCTTTCAGACAGCAATTTAATAAAAATGCATTGCTTCCTGGGAATTATTAGCCTTACAGTTCAATAGACAAATATAGAACTGGCATGAATTTTTAACTCTAGGGAGAAATTTTGAGTGAGGCCTGAGTGCTTTCTGTTTTTTGTTTTTGTTTGTTTGTTTTTTTGTTAGAGACAGGGTCTCACTATGTACCTTTGGCTGTCCTTGCAATCTCTACATAGACCAGGCAGGCTCAGAAATTACAAATTTCACCTGTCTCTGCCTCCTGAGAGTTGGGATTAGAGTTGTGCAACACCTACCCTTATTGTCTATCCTTTCTTGAAGTTAATAATTTTGATAAAATTCTGTTGATGTATACTAGATAGTGTTACTCTGTTTCCATGTCTCTCTGTATATATTCCTAGGCATTTCTCCTGCTGTGCCATAATCTATTCTGTGGACAGTGAAATGGAAGGTGTCATTCTCTCTTGATGTTTTCTTTCAAAATGAGTTGGTGACTGCACTTGATATTTACTCACCCATGTCAGAGAATGTATCAAGCACACGGAATTATGTAAATATATTCTCAAAGAAGTGTACATTTGCAATGTAGTCAGTCTCACCATTTCTATTATGTACATAAATGGGGTACTTTAGGAAGCAGTGACCTATGAGGATGTGCATGTGAACTTCACTCATGAAGAGTGGGCTTTGCTGGATCCTTCCCAGAAGAGTGTCTACAAAGATGTGATGCTGGAAACCTACTGGAGCCTCACTATTGTAGGTAAGAATGTGAGCTTTCTGTTAGTTTTTAACTTAAGGGAAGAAGCCTTTCTTGGAGATTGGTGCTCTCCTATAATTTTGAATGTTAAAGAAGAAAACAATGGTGAATAAATCAGGCATTGTTCTAAAGTTCATGAAAGACAGTAATTTCAATTGTTCGTAATTTCCAATAATTTATCACATTTTCTGGTGCTGTATTTTAGGGTACAAATGGGAAGACCACAATATTGAAGAATATTATCAAAATTCTACAAGACATGAAAGGTAATTTTCATGTGCAAGGTGATATATATGTATGTCTCCGATAAGTACTGGATTCCTGGTTGGTGGGTCGCTGCATCACTGATACAATAAGTCAAATCAAACCAAATTAATAAATCCAGATTTAATAAACAGAGCACAGCAAAGCAGAGCACTTCAGGGGCTCTTAGGAAGTCAGGAGACAGAACAGCAGAGCACCCATGGCAGCTCTATGGGCCAGGTTTTAAATAGCCAGTAAGGATGGGCATAGTCCCAGACATCTCTAGGGGAGGAGCCATTAATGGTGGGCTTTCTGCAATGAGGCCACATCAGGTGCAAATTGTAAACATCCCAACTTTATTTTGGGTATATATGGGAGCAGGTTCCGGTCTGTCTACTTCCTGCTAGCATGGGATCATGTGGGGAGGGGGTAGGTTCAAGTCAGGTGGACCCATGCTCAGCAGGGGTATGGGTGGTGAAGCATTTGGATACTTGCCATCCAGGAGGCCTCAGGCATCTGTCCTTGAGGAGGCGGAGAATGCGGGTTGCTAGGAGAAAAAAGAATAGCTTTTTATCACTGGCCTTATGAACAGGGATAGCCATTGGTAATAGGAAGAATGATGGAAAGAATGGAATTGAGAAGTGTCTTGGTTGTATAAAAGAGTCAAGGTTGAATGAGTGAGGCATGAGGGCAGATATGCCCTTAATTGGGACATCTTGGAAAACAAGGTTTCTGTTGCTGGTTAGGTGCCCACTTATGCCTGTAGAGGTGGTACCAGCAGTGAAGTCCCAGGAGCTTGGGTAGATGGCATGCTAAATCTAGGGATGATGTATTCCAGGAGTACTGGAGCCATGTATCTGCTGTTTTTCTGGAGGTTGGGAGAGCATCCATCCTGTGAATGTGTCAATAAGAGTTAAGAGATATGGAGCCTTTGTATGAGCAGGCATGTGGGTGAAATCCACCTGTTAGTATTTGTCCAGTTGGCATCCTTGGTTGTTGGTTGGCATGCTCAGAGCTGTTGCAGGAGCGAGTGTATCTGCAGGGCCCCAGGGGGTTTGGCCTTGGCCCTGGCAGGAGGAGTGAACCTACAGAATATGCTCAAAAATGGGTGGGGTCAAAAATAGGCTCTAGAAACTGTTATTATTTTCCATCAGGCCAGACTTCTTTACAAAATAGCTGAGCCCTTTTTTCAGGAAGCTTCAGGTGTCTATAAAATTACTGGAACAAATTTACATCTTGGTGTCATAATAAAAAGCTATGGATTTCAGTTAAAAGGCATGAATATTTTTAAGTCTAAATTGTGTGAGTGGAGGAGAGAGTTGAACTTGTCTGCAGGGTTCTATATCCTCTCTAGTGCTAACCTAGCTCTAAAAGCTGGACCAGTAAAATCCACAGAAATTTAAGGACCCCTCAAAACTCTTTGTAATAGATGCCTTATCAGTTTGTCAAAACTGCATATATCAAAGCTAACACTTTGAACCTCTGAAGATATATCTGAAACTAGTTTATCCTGTACCATGGAGTCTGTGAATGAGGTACACTTGCATGTATTTTTATCAGGAAACGTACTAATGAGCTACTAAGGTGCTTTTAGGTTTGGGGTTGGTTGTGTTGTTAAACTGGCAAATCTCTTGGTACCCTGGTCATCAAACACCATCAGATCTGAGCAGGATAAGTAAATGAGCATGAGTGCACCAGCTTTCCAGTTACCCAGGCAGTCCCAAGTCTCTCTATGGTCACTGGGTGACAAGTCCCAGAGGTAGCACTTGTTCAGATGCCAAGCTCAGAGGATCTGACAGATTCTTTGTGGAGTTGAAATTTGGGGAGATAGGCCTACCTGACTTGGCAGAGTGGCACAATTGTTACCCCATTGCTCCACTTATTCACAGTCTGGACATGATCTCAGCAGCAGTTAATGGTGTAAAGCAGCTTTTCACTGTGTGGCTGGCTTTGTTACTTTCGAGGCAAGCCTCCAGGTGGAAGTTCTGTGGCCATCCATCTTCTTGGAAAAGATACAGGATGCTTCCAGGAGTTGGCCTGTCTCTCACAAAAAGCTTTTATATTAAATGCTATATTCTCAGTTCTCTGAGCATGTTCGAGAATGGGGGAAAATCTGTTAGGTATATCTAAATTACACAAATGTTGTTTAGGTTTAACAATCAGAAACACACATGTGTGGCAATACCATTCACACAATTCCACCACCCATAAAAAGTAAACAACATCATTAACAGAAGCAATTTGTTTTTAATGAGGCTCCTAGCAGTTTTTGCATCCTGATACCCAGATCTCAGAGAAGGCACTGCAGAGGGAAACTGAAAAACAGAGTAGCAGCACATGCTGCCCAGTTGAGTAAGAGCAGGAAGTTGAGAATTTTGGAAAAAGAGATTTTTCGGAGGGAAGAAGGTGTAGCAGAGTGTTGTACTGAAGGAGAACAGGTTTAAGGGTGAAGTGGGCAGGTAGAATTTTAGCGGTGGGGAGTATGGGAACAGGGAACCCCCTGGGCTGCAGTGTGGTGGTGGCTGTGGTGGTGGCTGTGGTGGTGGTGGCAGCGGTGGTAGTGGAGTTAGTAAATACAGTGGTGGAGGTGGTGCTGGAGGTGAAGGCAGTGGTAGTGGTGGTGGAGATGATGGAGGTAGTGATGGTGGGGGAGTTGGTGGAGGTTATGATGGAGGTGGAGGTAGTGGTGGAGGTGGTGGAGGTTAGTGGTGGTAGTAGTGGTAGTGTGGTGGTGGTGGCAGCATCTCTGGTGGGAGGGAAAGAGGGAGTGAGGAAACAGACAGACAAACAGGCTGGAGACATTGATGCAGTAGTTCAGGGTGTGAAAGCAGAGACGAACAGAGAGAATGGATGTATTTCAGGGAGAATCCCAGTGTGACCAGATCATATTTCAGGAAGGAGAGAGGCAGAGAGACAAACAGAGCTGGGGAGGGAGAGGAATGGGAGCATTAGAATCACAGTGTGGCCACACTGTACACTGGGAACAAGATGCAGAGTAACAGGGAAGAGAGAGGAATGGGGGCAGTATTCTTGCAGGCCCAATTTGGAGGAGCCAACCCCAGAGGTTCTGGGGACAGAAATTGGACTTAGCAAATACTTATTCACAAGCCGTTTGCTGGAGATGTGGTTGTGAGGGCAGGTACACAAATCGCATCTGGGAGCTGTGTGTGGGGTGGACTCTGTGGTGAAGTCTGTGTCACACAGGGGAATTCCAAGGGCAATGACTGTCTCTACATTGAAACAAGGTGGAGTCACCTGGCACTACAGTGACTCAGTAGGCAGTCTTCAGGTTGGAAGAGGTCCCGGAC